CCAGCTGCGAGCGGCCACCTCGCCGCGGCTGCAGACCGTCCTCCTGGATGTCACCTCCAGCCAGAGCATCGCCGTCGCCACCGCCTGGGTCCGGGAGCGTGTGGGCGACCGAGGTAGGACGGGGCGGCCGCCCTCGTCAGCCCTGCCGCGGCTCTGCCAACCCGTGCCGGCACAGCCATTGCTGGAGCAGGGGCAGGGGAGCAGCCCCCGTCACCCCATCCCCTCTGTCCAGGGCTCTGGGGGCTGGTGAACAACGCAGGGACTGCCATCCCGACCGCCCCTAATGAGTGGCTGACCAAGGACGACTTTGTCAAGGTGCTGGACGTCAACCTCGTCGGCCTCGTCGAGGTGACGCTGAGCCTCCTGCCCCTGGTGCGGCAAGCGCGGGGCCGGGTGGTCAACGTGGCCAGTGTGATGGGCCGTGTCTCCTTTTTCGGCGGGGGGTACTGCATGTCCAAGTATGGCGTGGAGGCCTTCTCCGACAGCCTCCGGTAAGTCCTAAGTCCGGCGCGGCAGACACCGCCCCTGATTTCCCAGTTTGCTTTTCCGGGCTTTGGCTGGCAGCGCCTCTGTCTGTCAAACCCCTTCCTCATGCAACCGCAAGCAAGCGCAGGTTGAGTTTGTTTAAGTTGCTGCCGAAGCATGAGAGGAGGGGCTGCAGGGATGCTTAATACATGGACCTGATGTCGGGACACCTTGTGCCACAGCTACAGCACTTGGGTCCCACAGGAGTGATCTCCTGCCTGGGGGGGACCCTGCCTGCAGCTGGCAGCCTCTGCTCCGCTTTCAGCCAAGCTCATGCAGAGGTAGCCTGGGGTAAGGGAAGGCAAAGAACTTGGCAGAGCTTTGACTTCATTCCCCTGCCTGATGACTTCCCAGCAGCAGGGAAGCTGTGGGTGGCCACGCTGGCTGGTACTGCCAGCCCTGGCAGTGAGCATCTCCTATCGGACTTGGCCCCTGTACTGGATCCTGCGGGCAATGGCCCCGAGGTTTGCTTTGGCCTGGTCCCATCCAGACTCAGCAGACGTTTGCTCACATGCCGCCTTGGACGTGTACCAGGCTGGCGTAGGGTCCATTGGGGTGGTCAGGCTCCCCATCAAACTTCCAGTACAAGGCTGCCGTGCGTCCTGCGCGAGAACCAGTGCCCATGCGCAGCCCGTGCTGGCGGACGGCGGATGCATTCAGGTGCTGCTCCCGTGTCCCCTGGGGCTTGATCCCTTCCAGGCTTGAGATGCGCAGCTTCGGGGTGAAGGTCAGCGTGATTGAGCCAGGCTACTTCAAGACGATGATCACCAACACCGAGCTCCTGGAGAATAATTTTCTTTCCATCTGGGAGAAGCTCCCGGAGGAAATCAAAGCAAGTTACGGGGAGAATTACTTGAAGCAGTGTAAGTACCTCACCTAAAGGTTAAGCAAATCTGTTTCTCTCCTGACACAAGGCACATTCCTGGAGCCATGGGGTGTCCCACCACCCCGTCGTCCCACTGAGCCGTTCGGCTGTGTTCGGCTCGAGGGTCTAAGGCTAGCAGCCTGACCAGCGCTTTCTGCCTCTGCAGTTTTGGTAACACTCAGGAAGATGCAGAAGGGATACAACTCCAACCTGAGGCTGGTCACAGACTGCATGGAGCACGCGCTGACCAGCCGCTACCCTCGCACACGCTACTCTGCAGGCTGGGATGCCAAGCTGATCTACATCCCCCTCAGCTACCTGCCGTCAGCCCTCACAGATGTCATATTCACCTGGTTATCCCCCAAACCTGCCCGGAAAGCCTAAGGCAGGGAATTGGCATAGGCAGCTGACAGGCAGCAGCAGCCAGGGCCGGGCAGTGCAGGGTGGGACCCAGCATGGCCCACAGCCAAGCCCATGCCGATAGGTTCCTGAATTTTTAACACAATGTATGTTTCACACCTGCTGTCCTCTGTTAGCAGACCAGTTTGCTTCTGAATAAAGACAACTCCTCCTCCCTGCCTGGCAGAGCTTGGTTTCGGCCTCAGCTGGGGTGGCGGCACCGAGGCCATGTCCCTGCTCCTCCAACGGCACCAGCACTGCCGCCGGCCGTGCAGTGCCATGCCGCAAGAGCTCTTGGGGTCTCTGGCTGTTCCCCTGAGTCCCTGCTCCATGCAGGCTCCAGCCCTCACAGAGGTGAGAGCTGCACTCACCCGAGCCAGCACTCCAGGAGTTAACATGTGAATAAAAACCAGACCCGTACAAACCTGGGCAGATTTCCCTCTGGGCAGAGGGCTGGGCAGCCTCTGGCGAGTCCTCCTCCTCCTCGGTGCCCCTCGGGCATCCCTGAGCAGCGCCTGCTTCTGTGCATGGCTCTGCAGACCTGCAGCGCCCAGTCAGCGAAGGCTGCCCCGCTCCAGCAAACCATGCCCGGGCACCGCTGTGGCTGCGGACACCAGGACGCCCCTTTGCCTGTGTCCAGGCTCACCCCAGCAGCTTTGCTGCCTTCTTGTGCAGGGCCCGTCCCGGGGTGAGGGGACAAAGCTGCTGTCCCCCACCAGACCAAAGCCGGGCAAGTGCTGCACAGCCGGCGAGAGGGAGAAGTCCAAGGCCAGGTGCTGCCAACCGTGTCTGGAGAGCAGCCAAACCCTGCTCCATGGGGCAGCTGGATCCACCCTGCCAGCACAAACAGCCATTAAAAGCCAAAGTAGAGCTCCAGGCACACGGATCTGTGTGAGGCGAAGCCATGAACTGCAAGTGAGAGATGCAAAACTTTCTTCAGGTGCTGCTGCTGCAATCCTGCCTCTCCTCCAATGTGCCCCAGAGCAACCCCGGCACCTGGCTCTCCCACCAGTGCTGCCCAATGCATGGGCTGGGGCTGGTCCTCCATGCCGGCCTCTGTATATATGGCACAAGTGCGGACTGTGCAGAAGGCTGTTGCTAAGCCAGTGCCCGAGGATGTGGCTGTACCTGGCGGGGCTGTACCTGCTGTGGCGCTGGGACCAGGAGCGGCAGACGGTGCCGAGGCTCTCGGAGAAGTATGTCCTGATCACAGGCTGCGACAGCAGCTTTGGCAACCTGCTGGCACGGCAGCTGGACGCCCGGGGGCTGCGGGTGCTGGCCGCCTGCCTGACCGGCACCGGGGCCTCCCAGCTGCGAGCGGCCACCTCGCCGCGGCTGCAGACCGTCCTCCTGGATGTCACCTCCAGCCAGAGCATCGCCGTCGCCACCGCCTGGGTCCGGGAGCGTGTGGGCGACCGAGGTAGGATGGGGCGGCTGCCCCCGTCGGCCCTGCCGCGGCTCTGCCAACCCGTGCCGGCACAGCCATTGCTGGAGCAGGGCCTTGGGCAGGGGAGCAGCCCCCGTCACCCCGTCCTCTCTGTCCAGGGCTCTGGGAGCTGGTGAACAACGCAGGGACTGCCATCCCGACCGCCCCTAATGAGTGGCTGACCAAGGACGACTTTGTCAAGGTGCTGGACGTCAACCTGGTTGGCCTCATTGAGGTGATGTTGAGCCTTCTACCCCTGGTGCGGCAAGTGCGGGGCTGGGTGGTCAGCATGGCCAGCATGACAGGCCGTGTCTCCTTTTTCGGTGGGGGGTACTGCATGTCCAAGTATGGCATGGAGACCTTCTCTGACAGCCTCTGGTACAGCAGTGGCAGCCACCAGCAGCCCCCTGTGCTCCCCTATGCCAGGGCTTGTACAACAGCTGGGTGTGCATTGGCAGGTGCAGGCATGCTGGGCAGCTCTGCCCCACTTTCCCCAAGCAGGGTTTTATGTCGCACCCAGTTACATCCTTCCCTATACAGCAGAGCAGCAGTGAGCCGAGGCAGGAGCTTGTGAAATACCAATATGGTTGCCCACAGATTGGGAAACCAGGGCACTGCTAGAGCAACAGTTGTGCAACCAGAGAAAGGGTTTTGAGAAAGCCTTGAGCAAGGAGAGGGCTCCCCTGCACCCTCCCAGGGGACAATGGGGTTCCCAGAGGGGGTCACGGGCTCCCCCTTGCCCTGCGTGGCTCAGTTCTGCCCCCCCCAGCCCCATCTCGGCTCGGGACAGCAGCTCCATCTGCGAGGCTGACAGCCCATCCCTCGCCAGGCGTGAGATGTGCCCCTTCGGGGTGCAGATCTCCATCATTAAACCTGGTGGCTTCTGGACAGGGATGACTGACCCTGTAACGGTGGTGAAGGGCTTCAAGCACTTCTGGGAGCAGCTCCCAGCAGAGACCCAGGCAGCCTACGGCCACCATTACCCGGAGACCTGTGAGTACATCCCCGTGTGGCCCCAGCACTCCCTGGTGACTCCACCACCGCCAGCGTGCTGGGCCAGGCTGACCCCCCCCTCTGCCCACACAGATGCCAAAAGCAGCGTCCTGCTGCACCGCCTGAGCAGCTCCTGCCCGTTGTCACCAGCATCATGGCACACACGCTGCTCACCTGCTTCCCCCACAGCCGCTACGCGGCCGGCTGGGAAGCCCGGCTCACCCTTCTGCCGCTCAGCTACTGCCCAGCCTGGCTCACCGACGATGCCATCGGCTTCTTCCTGCCCATCCCAGCCAGAGGGATGGATGCCCGCGTGCCCCTGAAGATGGCCACCAGACCGGGGATGTGGACGCAGCACCCACAGGCACCCGCTTGCCTCAAGCCCCTGTTAACTTGCTCAATAAAGCTGGTGCAAAGCGAGGGGCTGCCCGCGGTGAACCTCAGCCTCGGACGTGTCCAGGACCCGCTTGGCCACCGTGGTGGGTGACCCGCTGTGCCGGGGCAGCTGTGATGCCGGTGGGGTCCCTGCCAGCCCGCGGGGTCCCTGCCAGCCTGTGGCAGGACCCCAACTGCAACCTGTGCCCAGAGTAACCATGTTCCCTGGGGATGTCTGAGCTGCAGAGCAGGATCGTCTCTGCCCCTGCAGCCCTTTGAGGGTCTGGTGGCTGCACCGGGGGATCCAGCTCATCCTCACAGTCGGAGGCAGGGGCCAGTGGGCACCTACCGGTATGGCTGATCGCGCCTGGAGGGCTGTCGCAGGCACCAGCGGTGCCCTGGCTCCCCATCGCTGCCTCATGCTGGAGGGATGCTGCTGCCCCGGGACATGGTTAAAGATGTTTTTCCGAGCTGGGCATGTGGGTGGCGATTCATGTATCGTTCATACCTCTAATTAAGGGCTGATTAGTGATGACTAGCTGAGGGTTAGGTCCCTGAGGTTGTGCACTTGCCTGCAGGACAAGAGCAATGTTAGCAGCAGCCCCACTCCCACCAGCATCACACCGCTCCCGCACGCGCAGAGACCGAGCCCACATGAGACCAAGACACCACAGGGCTGCAATGGAGCTCAGGGGGACAAGGAGCTTCGGCAGGATGGAAGGCTGCATGTAGGGCCCTTGTGCAAGCTGCATTACAGCTTACTGAGCTGTCTCCCCAGCCAAGAAAGCTTTCCTAAGTGCTTTGCTCAGCTTAGCAAATCAGTTAGACGTCCCCAGCAGCCCCCACACATCACGTTTCAGGCCCACGTGTCCCCAAAGGGCCGGGCTGCAGCATGCTGAGTTGCCAGGAGGTGACATGGGGGCCTTGACCCCTGCACCCACATCCCTTGGCTGCCTGGGGAGGGTGGGAGAATGGCAGATCCCCAGTGCTGCCGCTGCCTGGAGCCCACCTCACTCCAGGTCTGTGCTGCCCCCTGACTTCTCAGTGGGGTCGGACTGGCAGCAGCCAGGAGGGACCCAGTGCCCATATTTTAGCCCAGAGCGAAGCACTGGCAGGGAGAGGAGGAACCGGCCAGGCCCGGGGGGGACCATTATCAGCCCCTCCTCTTTGCTTTCCTGCGCCCCATCCATCCGACCCCTGATCCACTGGCCTCCAAAGGACCCACTCGGGTTGAAGTGGCCACTTTGCAGAGAAGAAACTGCCTTTTCCCACTTATCTCCAGACAAAGGGGAGACCTGGACCCTTAGGGAGGTTGGGGGCTCCTGGGCACATTTGGGTGCCAAAAGCCTTGGAGCACCCTGAACATCGCAGCAGGGATGGGGCAAAGGGGCTGAGCCACTGGCCCTGCTCCCCATGGCTTGGCTGGCTTGGAAATGCAATCGGCTCCCAGACCTCACTGTCCCCACCGGGACTGGCAGCCCCCGTGCAAATCCCGACTGCACCCAGGTCGTTCTCGATCCTGGAGATTGGTGTGGAATTTTCCTGTCCTGTTAAATGGAAACAGAATGGCATCCCTGCCTCCTAGGGAGGTAAAGCCCACGCAGCCCCTTGGGCAGCAGAATGGCCCTTCACAGCCCCCCCCCACACCCCCATCCTGCGGCCGAGCCAAAACGCGCCCCGTTGTGCTCAGGGCAAGCACAGAGCTGCAGAGTTCCTGTTTGCAACCCGGGGCCTCGGTCCCGCTGGGGCTGGGTACCTGCGTGCGGGTCACCAGCGCTGGGCTTGTTGTTGTGAGACCCGACTTATCAGTGCCCTCGTGCTTCCCCACTCCGGCCGTGCCTTCCTTCCGAGCCGATTGTTGATCACAAAGTCTTGTCTGCACTCGAAAAGGAGATTTCCTGCAATTGTTTTGCAGGACTTGCAGCCTGATGCAAAATTTTCTGCCTATCAGCCCCCTCCCCAGTGCCGGGGCAAGGCTCAAGCCCCCTCCCTTCCCCTGCAAAACTGCCAGGCAATCACGGCTCAATGATTAATTGCTGCCTGGCCAGAGGTGTTTCTGTGGTGATAGCCATCTGCCATCAACTCCTGCGACAGCTTGGAGCAACGGGCAGCGCTGACCTGGCAGAAATGTTCAGCTTTCAGCCCTTTTCCCTGCAAAGGAAACCCTGAGCTCGTGCTGGCATTGTGTGAGCATCAGGGACAGTCAATGGCATGATCGCCTTAACCCACCCTAACCCCTTGGGACTCCCAGAGCTGGGGAAGGACCTGGCTCAGCTGGGTCCATCCCAGAGGATGCATTTTCCCCTCCTGCCCACGCTCACAGCAGGACCCGGGCAGGATCCAGCTCCTGAGAGCAGTGGGGCTGCAGCAGCCAGGTCCTGTGGGGGTGACAGTGGAGGGGAGCTGCCCGGGGGAGCCGCGGGGACCCCCGCTCTATCCCCAGGCACCTGCGGCTCCCACATCGACACCTGCCCAGGGCCTCCCCGTGCCTGTCCCCAGCCCTGCAGCAAAATCAAATGGGAGCTGAGCCCCGGGGCTGGAAATCAAGTCAAATGTCACCCGCGCTGGGCTGTCTCAGGATATCAGACCACGACGGTCATTTCCTGCTGGGAAGCAGCCAACAAGCCCACCCCGAGCTCCGCGCCACCGCAACTCTGCTTTCCCAGAGGCGTGCAAGCCGCCGAGCTGAGAGGATCACCACGCTCCCTGAGCAGCCCCTCTGCGCAGCCTTTGGCTCTGCTGCTGGTGAGCCAACACCTCTCCCTCCCTGCCCGCATCCGTCTCTCCCCTCTCCCACCAGCATCTCTCAGGACCTGCAGCTTGGTGAGGGTGGGAGGTCAAGGAGCCTTGGGGATGGGGGGACTCCAGCCCTGGGGGCTTGCTCTCCTCTCCTCCACGGTTTTGGGAGTGGGTGGGTGACAGCCGTTTGCTCGTGTGGGGGATGCCAGGCTGCTGCGCTCCCTGGCTTGCTGGGCTCCGAGTGCCGCGGAGGTGCCCTGGTGGCACGGCACACTCCTCTGGCTTTCCCAGGTGAACGGCTGGTCTTGCGAGCTCTTCCAGTGGCCCGAGGCTGGATGGGGTTGGCAGCGTCTTCGCCACGTGGATGCAGCTGTGCTGGGATCAGAGCTCTCACACTTGGGGCAATAAAAGGATGTTAAGGTCAACTATATTTCCCTTAAGTTTATAATTTTGTCACCTACTTGGAAGTCCCAACGGCTCCCAGCAACGCAGCTGCAGGATGGGCAGAGTGAGGGCAGCTGCTTGGGTTTATGAAGTGACCGCACACCGAGGGCTCGGGTGGGGGTCAGGGGCTTTCCCGCTAGCACAGAGTCAAGTAGATGTGGTCACCGGTGCGTTTAATTGTCCGGGTGCCTGTCTGTGCCCCAGCCACCTTGCAGCCAGTTGCTGCATGCAAGGGCAGAGTGGCAGAGCTGGCGTCGGGATTCCTACAGGCTCTGTGGTGGCAGGACCTGAGCTCTGGAGGTTTCAGGGGACAGCACGAGCCTCAGCGGGGGGAGCTCCCACCTGAAGGTTGCTGCATTCCCAGGTCATCAGCTCCATTTCTGCAGTGACTGATGTTGCCAAGCCTCAGGGCTGGCATGTGCTCTCACCTGTCCTTCATCCCTCCCCTCCGTTGGTCCCCACCCCAGCACTGCCTGTCCCTGGTCCCCGGCCCTGGCTGACCTGGCTGTGGGACAGCCACCACCTGGGAGCATGTGTGGGTGTGCGGGCAGCTGCTGTTTGTGGCTTGCATTTTGTCTAGGACATGGAGTTATCTGTTGTGGGTACAGCATCTTTTGAGAGTTGATGTAGGAAGTCACCATAGCAGTAAAAACTGGATTAAAAAAAATACAGAAAAGTACTTTCAGTGCCTCCTGTGAGGACTGAGCTCTGACAGGAGAGATCGGCTGTTTCTCTGTACTTTCAAGCTGTCTGGCTCAGTGCAGTTGCTGAGCCACAACTCAGTGCTTTCCCCTTCCTTGCAGCTACCAGGATGGCTGAGGCGACCACTGCCCCCACTGAGACACACACTCTCCTGAATGAGTATGGGGACTACCACAACTGGTCTGAGCTGTTCCACCTCCTGAACTACACCTACACCTTCTGCGAGTTCAGCCTGGATGAGAATGTCAAGCGGGTGATCCTCTTCATCCTTTACCTGGTTATCTTCGTGGTGGGCTTGGTGGAGAACCTCCTTGTCATCTGGGTCAACTGGCAGACACGGGGCAACAAGAGCTTGGTCAACCTCTACATCATCAACATGGCCATTGCTGACCTCGGAGTGCTGCTCTCACTGCCCATTTGGATGCTGGAGGTGATGCTGGATTATACCTGGCTCTGGGGCAGCTTCCTCTGCCGCTTCACACACTACTTCTACTTTGCCAACATGTACGCCAGCATCTTCTTCCTCACCTGCCTGAGCGTGGATCGCTACGTGTCCCTGACCAGCTCCTCTCTCTTCTGGCGTAAGCACCAGCACCGCGCACGCCGCGTCATCTGCGCCTGCAGTTGGGTCTTGGCAGCAACGATCCCATTCCTGGAGGTTGCTCACATGCAGCTGGTCAATACTGGAGAGCCCATCTGCATCTTCATGGCCCCCTTCGAGACCTATGATGAGTGGGCGCTGGCAGTCAGCTTGGCCACCACCACCATTGGGTTCCTAATCCCCTTCCCCATCATCACCGTTTTCAACATCCTGACAGCCAGGTTCATCAAGCGCACCAAGCCGGAGAGCAGAAAGCACTGTCTGCTCATCTACGCCTATATCGTCGTGTTCCTCATCAGCTGGCTGCCCTTCCACATCATGCTTACTCTGCTCACCCTCGATGGCAACCACATCATCCTCCACTGCACATTTGCCCACTTCCTCTACTTCTTCTACGACATCATAGACTGCTTCACCCTGCTCCACTGTGTGATTAACCCAATCCTCTACAACTTCCTGAGCAAAAACTTCCGCAGCAAGCTCATCTCCGCTGTGGTTAAGTACATCCCCAAAGACCAAGGCAGCCAGAAGGGCGCAGACAATTCCTCCTCCACCACACAGCACTCCATAGTCATCACAAAGGACAATAACCCTCCCAATTAAGGGGGATCGGACTCTCCCACTCATCATTGGCAAGTGGTTGTGGAGGGGCGGCAGCTCCCTGCACTCACTGAGGTCAGTAAGATTGTTTTTCCTGGTGATAAGCAGACACTTTGCTTTTAAAAAACACTTCTTGGCTGGCCACCTCCTGTGCTCTGAAGGCAGGGCAGGGTGCCAAATGTGAAATGAGATGGTGCGGGGAGCTACAGACATCTTGCTTCTGATGTGCTGCTGTATCAGATCTATTTAGCTAAAGAAAGAATAAGAGAAAGAGATATTTCCTGTTTTCCAAAAGAAAAGCAGTAATAAAGTGCATGACTCTACCCAGAACTCTGAACACAAATCCAGCCCCTGGGACCCCACCCCTGTACTGCCCCAAGCCACGGGACTGGGGGCACACAATCCTTTCCCTTCACAAATTTTTCTGCAGCCCCCAACTGTCACTTATACACAAGCCCTGGATACACCGAGCTGCAGAGGTGTCCAGTGAATGCTGCCCCTCTGCCTTGATGCCGTCCAAGCAGGAGAGAGGAAATTAACTCCTTTGAAACACAAACCTCTCCTCCCCGTGCCTAGCAAACAGCTCAAAGCCTGATTTTACAGAAGTGAAGGCAATGTGATGCGGAGGGGCTGAGCATGACACAGGCCTGAGCTTGAAGGAGGGGAGGAACAATTTGAGATCAGCAGCTCGTTGAGAGCAATTTTGCAAACCCAGCAGTAAATTAGCGATGGTTAAAACTGTGTTTGACGGGGCACAGTTGCTTCCAAATGTGACCGGTGGCAGCCGAGGTGGGGTTCCCAGTTTGTGTTTTGCAGCATGACCCATTCCATTAAACCCAGCCTCCTTTAGAGCATCTCCTGGCAGGTTTCTAAGGCCACTGGGTGCATTTCTAAATGTTGGCAGACTCTGGCAGACCTTCACGCACGCTCCCTTTCAATCAGTCGCACTGAAGCACGCCCCGTGGGAACACGTACACATGCAGAAATCCTCGGAGCTGAAGCGCAGGCTGGGCTTTTGGCTGTGTAAGAAACTGGAGCATCCGGAGAAAGTTCATCGTTGTCTGGATTCTGCTAAGTCACATGCTGCAGGTCAAGCCCTTGGCAGGGGAAGGTGAAAGAGCGACAGTCACTGGAAGGGAGTCCATAAATCTACCAAAGGCCTTGAGCTGCTCAAGAAACACATATTAAAAAAGGAAAGCATAAGCAAATCTAGGGACAGGATGCTTGCAGCAGAGAGCAGTGGGTGGGGAGCAGGATGTCCCGGGCTGTGGCAGAAGCCCACGACCAGGGGTTAACATGGACGCTCAGTTATCACGGGACTGGCTGGGAACGGCTCTGCTATTTACAGGGGTCCTGTGGCAGCATAAATCACTAAATACTTCAGGGCTCCTTGTGCGCAGGGACGTTCCTTCTTACTACCAGGGGATACCAGCGTTGACAGAAAAAGCCAAATTCATCATCTCTTACACAGAAAGACTTTGTACTGCAGCTGGGGAAGAAGCCAGTCCCCTCAGACACAACAGTACCCTGTTCAGGGAAGCAACTCGTGGCAGTTCCTTTTCCTTAATTATGTTACTTGCATGTAGTTTCACAACTTGTGAGTGTAGAGCCACTTAGACTGCAAGCTCTCAGGGACAGAGGGTGTCCTTCGGGATCTGCACCAACACAGGACCTCACTGCCTTCATCCCCGTGACCCTCCTGGGCACAACACGCACAGTGAAGCCGAGCAGCCCCAAAACAAGCCGGCGAACAGGAAGGCAGCTTCACGCTGACACAACCCACAGCTCTGATCCTCAATCTTCCCTAAGGCTTCCTTTTGCTAATACCCTGCCATTTTCAATGAAGAAATGGAAGATAAGTACACAATAACAAGACACTTGATGCGTGGCGTAACCAGGACAACAATATATTCAATATCGTTACTTAAACATGTAAAATTTGATATTTGACCTATTAAACTTTTTTTTTTAAACTCTCCTAATGTATCTGCAACTTTGTTCATAGGCCTCAGGGCCAAAGTGACCTCAGGTAAAGCCTCATACAGCCCCACACAGTGATGTGGGCTTGAAACCCAGCTAGTCCTTTACCTGGGTCCCTCGGTCTTCCTTTAAAGCTTTCACCACCCCATAGGGTAAACTGGCCCAGCCACCGCCTCCTTTACCCCCGGGCCACCCACCCAGCTTGAATTTCCAGTGCCCACTGCTGGTCACTGGCTCGGCAACAGTGCCCTGTCCCACCAGGTGAGCTCTCCCCAGAGCAGCTCTGCCCAAGCTGCTCCAGTGGCAATGGAGACTGGCAGCCCCAGCCAACAGCAATGCCCAGCAGGCCAGTCGCCCTAACCCTGAAGCGAGAAGGAAGCCTCGCTGCTGGAGAAAAATTAAAGTGGCTCTTTAAAAAAACCCCAGCAGCATTTGCCCACTGATCTGTCTTGCCAGCCAACAGCTCCAAGCCTGCGAAGGTCCAGGTCTCAGTGAAACACAGCACTGGCAGCACAGAAAGGGCTTACCAAGGAACACAACCCCCCAGAATTTCCTAAATGGTTTCTAACAAGGGCTCTGCTCCCAACCTGCTGTGGAAACAGCCTGCAGAAATGCCAGAGTCCATTCTCCTCTCGCTGCTCCGGGTGCTGGAGGAGGCGGTGAGGAAGAGGCCCCGGCTGCCTGGACTCATGCCACAAATCCTGCAGAGCACAGCACAGGAGCAGGATACCAGGAACGGCTCATGTGCTTTCCCAGGCACCCCTGAAGAGACAGAAATGCCAATCTGCACATTTAAAGAAACAAGTTTTATAAAGAAGCAAGGTACAAGAGGTCAACATTTTCCATTTTATTATTCTAAATAAAAACCACACTTTGTGCTGAACAATGGAGTATAAAAGAACCCGATGTACAACGATTTTAGACATCTACTATTTGGGGGGGAAGTTTACAAAATATACAAAACTTTACAGCAAATAGATAGTAAACACTTAAATATCAGGAGGTCAGTACCTACTATTAACTTAACAAAAAGGTTAGACAGCAATTCAACTCTTTTTCTTTCTTCTGCTTAATTATTCTGATAAGAGACCTGGATCCTTTGAGAAAGGGGAGAATCAAACTGAACTTTGAGTTTTAGAAATCTGAATAAGACCAGTCTTGAAGCACTGCCTTTTGGAGGGGGATTTTATGTCAGGGTTTCCTGTGAGGACCTGCAACCCAGTCGCTCTTCGCAAATGCCGCCGGCACAGCTCACGGCGAAGCATTTCCCCTCTGCTTTCCCCTCTTGTACCCCGAAGATCCCAAAGCACTTTGCGAACATGAGTTAAACCTCACAGCTGCCCCAGGAGAGGTAGGTAAGTGTTGTCCCCACATTCACAGAGGGGAGGGGAGGTCAGGAGGCGAATAGGCTTGCCAAAGGCTGCACTGCGAGTCAGTGGTGGAGCGGCAACAGATCCGGGCACGGAATTTCGGCCCTGGCTGCCCCGATGCTGCAAACAGCGCTTGGCCTCCAACAAGGAGCTGTGCGGGGCTGCACCGCCGGCACGCACACAGCCCCATGCCGCTGGCCAGGAGCCCCTGCCGTCACCGGGTGCCTCCACCGTGATGCAGCCAGGTCAGAGCTACGGCTCCTCGGGGCAGCGCAGCCCATGGGGGACTCGGGATGAGCCCACCACTCCGGCCGACCCTACCCTCCCCAGCCACACAGCTTTCTGGAGGAACACTGGAGCTCCCAGCCAGGCTGGCTGGAGTCGGGGACAGCCATGCCGCCGAGGGGACAGGGACAACAGAGCCCTGATGCTGGCTGCAGGCTTGGAGAGGCCCAGAACCCTCCCAGGGGAAGGAGTGCTCAGGTCTCTGACCCCTCTTGGGAAAAATCCCTCCAAGGAGGAGTAGTGGCACGAGGCCAGGCCAGCACAGGAGCGCTGCAGGTCCAGATCTGTCCCGGCATCCCCTCTGCAGATGGGACTCGCTGCTGATCTTGAGATGTTTCATGTGGGACTGATTCATTATAACACAGGAAAGAATCCAAGACACAGAAACGCCAGGGACCCGAGTGCTCTCCCCATCCCCACAACCAAAAACAACTGGCAGTGAAGGGGGTGGGCTTTTGCTTTCCCGTCCCTGTGTCCAGAAGGGTGGGCTTGCTTTGCCCATTAGTGTTTCAGTGTAAAAGCTTCTCTTTTTGGTTTATGTGCACAAAAGGCTTTTGCTTCACAGCTTAGCTAGATACGGGGCTGCAGACACTACCACACAGCAGCACCCCAACCCATCCAAAAGCTCATCACAGCTTCTGGGACGTTTTAGGAGGGTCTGGAGGCTTTAAGGACTTGGCTCTCCCAAGCCTCGTCTGCCCCCCTCACATCCTTCATAGCAATCTCCAGGGCAGAGCAGGTCAGCTGTTCCTGTCTACCAGCCCATCTTGCCACCACCAGGACAATGAAAGAAACCCTGTAACTCAAAGAGCTCTTCAGAGGAGCCTCCAGTGGACTGCCATCAACTCCCACACTTTCCTAGAGCACCATGCGTTCTCAAAATGATTTTTTTTTTTTAAACTTAACAACACTAAGCTAAACATGGCTCTGCAGACCAGCTAGAGATCACAGACCGTGGCCTGGCAGCTGACCAGTACCATGAGACCAGAGTTTGGAAACCAGAGCTCCAGTGGCAGATGCAGCACAGCCTGGCTTGCCCCAGGGTTGGCGATTACTGCGGTGCCTCTCTTCCTCTGAAAACAGGCTCCAGGCACCAAAATAAGGACAAGTCCAGTTTAACACCCCCCAAGGTGATGTCAGCTGGCCCCAAATTTGGCCAATATTACAGGGACTGGGGAAAGGACACAAACTCCCAATGGCCTCTCGTTCCTCCTCAGCAAGGTCCATTCCTCCCACCCCACCTCCGTGCAGCGGGGTCGGACTCAGGTACTGCAGGTCCACAGGGTGACTGAGGATGATACAAGCTCAGGACGAAGGAGCTGCCTGGGAAGGGTCATTAGGTCCAGCCAGGGCTCAGCACTGACTCTTTTCTCTTCCCCCGTCACAGCAAGTCTGGACCTGGACCAGGAGGTGCCGCGGTGGAAACGCAGCTTTACAAGCAAACCACAGGGATAGAAGGATGGATGGAGCTGAAGGGCAGGGGCTTCCAGCAGCTGCACACCTCTGCACCCTCCAGCTCCCCTCTCCCCAGGACGCAAACTCCTCCTGCTCCCAACAGCAATGCGCCCAGCCGATGGGGAGACGTGCTCTGCAAAGCCCAGGGGACATTACAGCGCCACTACCCCTCAGCACACACATCCCTGCTTCCCGCTCCCCAGTGCTGCTTCCCACAGCCCCTCGGCAGACACAGCGGCACTGAGCCACCCCCCACTTCTTACATTGCTACAGAGCTCGTTTCACAGGACTGTGATGGGGACGGGGCTAAAGGTAAGTTTGCTTGCAACGAGGAAGGCTGTAACAGGACTAAACTGACCTGACCAGGTCCAGTAACTGGTACAGAACAGGAAAGGATGGAGGCTGTCATTTCCCTAGGACACTAAACATCAATATTCACCAAGCACTTTGCATCTCCCACACGCTTTGCAGGTATGAGCCAGCAATCTTCACCACACTCCCGGGAGGTAGGTAGGTACCACAAGTGTTACCACCCTCATTTTACAGATGAGGAAACTGAGGCAAAGAGGTGAAGTGACTTGCCCAAGGCCACAGCGGAACGGGGGAAGCAACCCCCAGGAATTCCTAGCTCACCAACCACACATTCAGCCCATGCCTCTCCTCTGTTGCGGGTTGTCCCTTCAAGAGGAGGAGAAAGCGGGATGAGTTTACAGGGTTTGCAAATCACTAGTTTTGTTTTGTAACAGCATATCTTTACAGAAGCGCAGGAGCCAATTTACTACGACTGTGGCTTGAAAGCCCTGAGCGCTTCCTGTTTGTGAGGTAGAATGAGTTACCTAAGGGCAGTCATAACTCATGCTGCGGCATCGGAAATATTTGTTCCTCTCCACCTCTGCCCCACAGCAGGATAACATGGGAAAAAGCCGATCCCCACCCTTCCTGGTGTAAACACTGCCGGCATGGGGCTGACCTCGCCAGTGCAGCCGGGAGAGCCCACCGCGCCGAGGAGCCCCCAGTGCACATGCGACGCGCGTCCAGGAGAGGCTGAGCTGAGGTTCACATCAGCTGCTATTGCTGCTGGCTCCCAGAGCTGCTCTGCCGCAGCCCCCAGACGGCGCCTGCTGAATTTACGGCAGGATTCGACAAAAGATGAATGAACTCACATCGCACTAACAACATCCTGCAACACACATTTGCCACGAGACTTGTCCGGGATGCAGTGAGCCACGACGGCAACCACGGGAGGGGGCTATCCCTTCAGCAGAGAGAAGAGTCCTCAAAGGTACCTTCCTGGGAGTTAAGGCAACAGCTTCATCACATCTTGTCTTGCTGGGATCCACACAGCCGCAGCGACGCCGCTCTCTGGCAGCCAGCGCTTCCAGCAACTGGCAGCCCTGGGACACACCGTGCTGGCAGAGCACGATGTGCATGGCTGCCGGCGGCAGAGGAGAGCTGAGGAGAGGTCAGCACGCTCTCGATGGCCAACTGCAGGGCAGCAGAAGTTAGGCATGACCGTGCCATCACAATATATCTCCCAAGGAGCAGTCAACCCCACAACACGAACCTGCTTCCCCTGCCCTCTCCAGGTCAGCGACTCCTCTTGACAGCTCCCCCTGCTCACGCATCCACCTCTTTCCTTCCACGCAGCTGACCCGCTGCTCGGGCTCTTCAGAGAGGTGGTGTCACCCCTTCATCTCCTCCTTCGGAGATGGGGTCTCGGGGCATGAGCGAGCGGCATGTCATGGGCATGGCAGAGAAACTGCCAGCCACATTCCCGGCTCAGGCAGGGCTCCCAGAGACCAGTGGCACTGCCTGGGAAATACCCTTGCGAGCGACAATCACCCTCCTACTCATTTACCGCCAGGTATCCCTCCTCATTTGCATGTGCACACTCACATGCTGCTTGCTCATCTCCCCTGCAACAGAGCAACGACTTCCAAAGCTGATTCTGTGACACGGACTTTGCTTATCTCCTTGCAATAGCAGCAGAACCCCAGTGATGCCCAGAATGAGTCTGTTTTTCCTTTTTTCTTTTTTGTTTTTCCTTTTCTTCAAGTCCAGCACCATCCTGCTCTGGCTCTGTCCCTCTCTACTGAGGTCAGGTGTGAAAAATCTTAGCAGCATCAGTTTGTGGACAAGCTCAAACTGAGAGTTAGCCTAGTCAAGTGGGCTAAAAGGTTAAAAAAAAAATAATCTAGATTCCAAACCTAGTGAGAAATGCTAAAAACACAGAACTCGATGGCCTCTAACAGGACCAGAGGTAAGTAAACACGACAGACTTCTTGGAAACAGTGATGTAGCTTACGTGCTGTTAATTTGTACAATGCCACCAATCTAAAAAGCCCTAGCAAGGCCAAAAAGAAATTTAAAAAAATAGAAAAGGAGGATTCCATCCATGATGCCTGACCATTAAATAAAATAAACGACATTTTTTCCACAGCTTCTGTAATTAGCATTTGCTCCTTTGCTGGCCCTGCCCTGCCTCACCCCATCAGCTGTCCGTGTTTTTCTCCGCATCTTTGGAATGGATGATATACATGAAAGTCTGTTCGATGGTGAAGTCCGGGGGGAGGCTGCCTTTGTGCACGCCTATGTGCTTGCTCATGAGGTTGAGCGTGGAGCTGTAATGCCCACACACAGTACAGCGGTACATGAGGGCTCCCGAGTGGGTCCGCAGGTGGCACTTAATGGTGGAGCGGCCGCGGAAGAACTTGTGGCACACCTTGCACTGGTAGGGCTTTTCTCCAGTGTGGATCCTTCTGTGATAGTTGAATTCACTGGTGTGAGCAAACCGCTTCCCGCAGACCTTGCAGCTGTACTTGCTGTTGCCTGGCTGGTTTTGCAGCGCCAAGTCTTCGCTCAGGAACTCGTCCGGCAGCTTCCTCTTCTGCAGGCCCTGATGCTGGAGACGGTCTCGAAAGCTGGGTCGGATGTCCAGGCTGCCCCCACACTTGTGCTGGCTGACGTGGTAACGATACGCTGCTTCCAGCTTGAAGCTCTGGCCACAGAAGTGGCAGCGGAAGAGAGCCTCCTCCATGTTCTGGTGAACAGCCAAGTGCTTCTCCAGGAGGTGCCGATCCACAAAGCTGTTGGCACAAACAGAGCAGGAGAAGACTGAGATCCCCAAGTGAGACAGGGTGTGCCACATCAGGCTGCAGAGACTGAGGTGCCTCTGGTCACACACGCCGCACGTCTGGCTTTTCAAGTTCACGTGGTCCAGGATATGGTTGCGGACGGTGTGGAAATCTTTGGCCAAAGGCTTCCCACAGGCAGCGCACGCCAGGTCTGAGCCAGGCCCTCCCCCAAACATGGTGATCTTCCCCGGCAGCGGGTCACTGGGGTGGACGATGATGTTGTTGTCAAAGACCCCTTCTCGTCGGTGGAGGGTCAGCTGCCACTGGGTGAAGAACTTGGTCTCGCACATGTCGCAAGAGAATAGAAAGATGCCGATGTGGGACAAAACATGAGTGACCCTGGAGTTCCGGTCCTGGAAGTGGGTTTCACAGACCTTGCAGTTCCCGGTGAGCAGATCAACGTGATCTCTCGCGTGCTGGCGGATCAGCTGGATGTTGGGCTCCAAGACCTTCTTGCACACCTGGCAGGGCATTGCCTTGCTATCCCGGCTGTCGTTCTCAAAGGCCAGCTCTTCTTCACTGTCATCGCTCAGCTCAATAACTTCTTCTGATGGGCCCAGTTCTTCACTGGCATCTTCGAAATGCAGTTCATCCTCGCCCAAATCCTCCAGCTGAAGCTCATCCATCTGCCCAAAACCTTGCTCTTTGGAGTGGTCACTGTTGCTGGGACAGGAGTTACTCCCCGTGGAGATGTCCACGGAAGGATCAGCTGTGAAGAAGCCACCCTTGCCGTAGTCACCATTGCTCTGGACCTTGTACTGCTGGCAGGAGCTTGCGGTGGTTTGAACAACGATGTTCACACCGCCCAGGCTGGGCTGGGTCGCCATACTTGCGGCAGGAGCGAACTGCCCTTGATCCGATTCCTGTTCTGTCTTGGGAGGCTGCTGCGGATGCATCAGGGGAAGAGTCTGGTTGGCTTCACTCACGGTATTCCTGTCATCCTCTTTGTAGCTGCCTGCCACTTCCCCATGTAAGATGTAATTCCGTTCAGGGCCAAAATGTTCCCCGCCACTCCGGATTTCACCCAAAGAATGGCTCTGCTCCGAGGAGGTGCTGCTCAGAGGACCTGATCGGCCTTCACTCATGGACAGGGAGGGTTGCTTTGTGATAGCTGAGCTCTCCAAGTCAGGGAAGGTTGAATGGCAGGCCTTCAGCAGATCTTCCATGCCCAGCCGCTCTGCTACCTCATAAATGACGCCGACATTGATCAGGTCTGTGAAGAGCTCCGAGGTGTACACAAAGCTAAGGATCTTCTCAAAGTTGGCCGGCGTGATGAAATCCACTACATAGGTCCTAGCAGCATCCAGCCCCGTGTTCAGAAAGAGGTTCTGGAAGTAGCCTGCAGCACAGGCCAGAACAGCCTTATGTGCAGCAAATGAGCGGGTGCCCACCAAAATGGTGACGTCGCACATGGTCTCGGAGAGCCTGCACTTGTTGAGTTCCTTCAGCAGGTTGTTGGGGTGATTGGTGCTGTGCAACTTGATCCTCATGCCCATCTTAGCAGCTGCTTAAGAGTCCCTCTCCTGGTCAGCTTCTTCTTCACGCATTCATCAGCTTCATGAGCAGGAGGTGCTTGGCATCCAGAAACTGGCAGGGCAAGGGGCTCTGGGGAGAGGAAAATGCAAAAAATGTTAATACCTTAACAACCAAAGAGACATCATTCTAATTGTATCTCAAATTTTCCACTTTCCTGACAAGCAATAGAGAAGCAGCAGCGTAGCTGCTTAGATGGAGATTGACTAAAACCCATCTTGTAAGTTCAAAGACTGACTCTTTGGGAAGCAACGGGAAAGACGCACAAAGGGAAAGGCACAAACAGAAAAAATAAAGCCATTTACTCTACCAGTGACAGCCTGAAGCTCCCGCTTCTATCTGGGCACGGACAGAGGTCCCTCTGCCTCGCAGCTCCACTCAGTTCTGAAACTGAGCCCCAGCCGGTGCCTGTTACGGAGACATTCCTCCTCTCCCCGAGCCAGGGATAACTCTCCTGTCTGGAGGGCTGAAATTCAGGCTCTACACGCTGGTTGGCTTTGCCTCCGGGTCTCCTCCAGCCACCACCGCTTCATACCTTTGCTTCAGATTACTCCCATACCCACACGGTAACTTTCGGTTTCCAGGTAGGATCTCATTTCGGATTCTCCCCTGCATGCCAGCTGCTCTGGTTCCCTTGGGATTTCTCCTCTGCTACACCAGTATTTGCAGCACCTTTCAGTGCTCTGAGCCAGGTGGTTTGTGCAATATTCCCAGGCTGCCACTGGACACCTGGCTGATGTCACTGGCAATTCCCACCTGAGCTCATCCCTCCAGCTTGTCCCACTGCCTTTGTCACCCTGTCCCACTCCCGAGTGCTCAGCCAGCTCTCAGTCCACCCGGGGACTTGATGAACTTACCCCGGGGAGCTCTATCCCTAATCCCCGTCCTTTGAGCAACGACCCCAGATGCCAGTGGAGAGACTGGGGAGTTTGCAGGAGGCGGAAGGGGACTGGGCTGCCTTCTGCCCCAGCTCCAGGGAAAGGCCAAATGGAGCTGGGGACAGGCTGTCCTCCCCTGGGACGCCAAGGGATGAAGGCAGGGACGGCCCCTGCCCGAGAAGGCAACGGGGAAGCACGACTCACAGCTGGAGAGAATGAGGATGGCCGGGGAAGGTTCCGGAGGGGAAACGCTCACCAGCCCAGAAACCGCCAGGACGTGGGCAATTCCTGCAGCATGGGGATCCCTGCGCGGGGGCGGGGGGGGCGGCCTGGGGACGGAACAGGAGG